AACAGAAACAGCTTCACACAACCACTCTACATACCGAAAGTCTGTTGAAGGATCTGAACCTTGCCAACCCATATCCTTCCAAAGTTCTGATTTTAGAGATGGAAGTTCCCTATTAGGATATGCGAGCCTCCATAATTGTTTAAGAGCATCCTGCAATTCAAATAAGAAAAAATTACACACAAGAAAAAAAAGATGACAATATAACCAGTTTGAACCAGTACGGTAAAACTATAAAACACCATATTGTATTGGCAAGTAGATGAAGTAGCAACAGAGATTTCATAAACATGATTTCCCCTATATCCATAAGGGTTCTCATTTTCTTCTCTTTCCCTTTCTCAGCTACAGAAACTGAAAATAGTAATCACCCCTTTGATACACATCAGACACACATACACACTAGTCAAGAAACTGAAAATGGTCATTGCCCCTTTGATACACATCAAACACACATACACACTAGTCAAGTTATAGACATACCCAGGACAGGAGCAGTAATAAACTTGAAAAAAAAAAAAAATTACAGCTTCACAAGGAGAGCAAGTAGAACAACAGGAAAAGTGGACAATAAATGAACAAGGATGCAACCCAACTTGACCATCACACACACTCTGGCCCACCCACCCACACAAACATGGATATAGCAGAACTTGACAATAAATCACACATATAGATTATGACAGAGCACTAGAGACTCAGATTGTAGCTCAATTGATAAGGACTAGTTCCCAATCTTAGAGAGGTGCGTTCAAATCCACCCACTTCCAATGTATATAAAGAGAAAAGGAGCTATATATAAGACAAATAATTATATACTGGGCACTGGATGTGAGGACAATATTGATTTACAGTGATTATAAATTCAAAAGGATAATTGCTTGAATCCATTAATTTTTCCAATCAAAAGGCATATCATGAGCAAATAAATAATTCGGAAAACAGATGGAAATAAATTTCAAGATGGAACACATGGGGTATTGACATCATAAGCACAGTAATAAGATGGAAAACCTACTTGATGCTCCACCCGAGATCCATCAAAGGGGACTTCCAGTCTTTGCTGTAGATTTCTTAGCCTTTCTTCCTAAAAGCAAACCAAATAAAAACATCAAAGACACAGTAGATCGCAGATAAGCAATACACAAATGTAAGTGGAAGAAGTGTTGACACGATTTTAACAAAGTTCAACAAAAAACACCGAGTTAAATAATTGGGTCAATCTAGTATATCAATCAAACGAATAAGATCCATGTGTATGTACACACTTTTCCTGAGAGGATTGCAGTTTTCTTTTTCTTTTCTTTTCTTTTTTTTTTTTTTTTTTTTTTTTTTGTCTTTTAAAAAAAAGGGACTTTATATTCCTTGTAGTATATCTAATTCTGATGTGTGCTCCAGTTAAACAGAAAGACAAAGAGAGTGAATTTTTCTCTGTTCAAAATCAAGAAAATAAAGTAAGTTTCTGGTGCTTGAAAGTTCAAAGAGAAAAGGTCAAAAAGCTTCTTCATATACCATACCTGTAGAGGACTGAGTGCAGGCAAAAGAAGCTTGTTGATTGGTCCATTTTGAAAGGCAGGAAGTCGAGGTAAAAGCCGCACAAGAAGTGATCCAGATCCAACAACAATGTTAGCTGCAAAAAATTAAGCTGTCAGTTAACCAAACTGCTCTTGAAATTAACACCATATCCAACAATGCAAAACCCACTAAGAACTTAATAACTGCCAGGACATACAGCAGGGCTTCAGAATTCAGAATAGCAAACCAAGTGAAAATAGGAACCATACAAATAGAAAATTAGTAAAATAATGTCCTTCAAACTCACTGGCCAAAAAAAAGAAATTAAAAACCTTATATGAACCATTTGCTTTTCTTAAATTTGCACAACTTTTAACAAGCAAGCACATGAGAGAAAAAATAGGATAAAGTGCTCAGATGGCCCTCAAACTTTTCTTACTTGCACAGGAAGTCTTTTCACCTACATTTTTCTGTAGTGTGATCCTTGAAATGGCCAAATTGATAAACTGGGGTCCAAATAAGCAACAGCCTCCAATTACCTCTTACAGCTGCTGCCTAATGTGGGTTTTGTTATTTCCCCATGGAAGAAAATGTAGCTAAAATAGACATCTGCCACTAATGGCATGAAACTTGGACCAACTGAAACAAGCTGAATATGATAAAATAATGCCACATCAGCATATTTATCACAATTTACACTAACACTTGTTCCTCTTTTTGAACTTCAAATTATGAAAAAGATTTTTAAGATTTTGAGAGGAACAGAAATCAAAGAATGAATAATGGTGCAAAAGAGCAGGGGAAACCAGCAAAAGCAGAAAAATATGATTGCAACCATAATTAATTCATTGGAAGACCATTCAACCATATCTCAACCATCTTCTGAAGCATACTCTCAAAGATACTAGGTTGACTGTTGACATTAAGAAGCAGTTCCAATAAAAAAGGATAATATAGTGACACTTGAAGACAGCAAGAAAATGTCAAGGACTAGTACTCAAACCAAAAGACTAACAAGTTAGCTGAGGATAGTGCATATCATCCCACTACATAAGCCCCTACATCCCACGCTTCCTATCTAATATTGGATTGCACAGCTTTCCTGCTATCTTTTAAGAGCTTGGCATAACATTCTCCAGCCACCATACCTTTGTTTGCCATGGTCTCATTGGACCGTGCCTACATCCCAAAGGACCATGTTACTCCACTACCATTCCCCCAACCAAATCAATTAGCATGAACCTTGGGCCATTGGTATGATATAAAATGTGACTCTAATACCATTCGTTCATCATGGGTTGGTCCTCAACCCAAAAGGCATGTCTATTAAGGTATCATTCCACCATTTCTATCCAACATGGGATTTGCACATTCCATCTACTCTCTCTTGGAGCACTTGGAATCATAAAAAAAACAACAAGGTAAGCAAAGACAGCACTAGTGCTGAGAGAAGTTACACTCTAACCTGCATTTTCACATTTTAAATAATGCTAGAGACAGTAACAGCATATTGGAAATGTGATGGAACACATTTTACTTTCAGGAGATTTGGTGTTAAAAGACATTTCAATCTTCCTTGTGTCAACCAAAGATGAGAAAATCAACAGAGAAATTGAGCTTCGATGATTCTCTTACTAAGCTTTCAGATCTGTCACTTTTCAGTTTTGATCACCATCCTTCAAGGACAGATGATAATCTTGTTTATTTATTAGGGACTAGATAATTTTAGTGACATGTCACTCCAGTTTAGGCAAAATAATTTGAGCTCCACTATGAATAACAAGACTTTTTAACAGTGACCCATTTGACAGCACTGTCTTGAACAATGTTTCAATCATTTATTAACCTCAAGCATCGCATGGCACATTAAATAGTTGAAGGACCATTGAAGCAATTTTTCCAAAATAACACAAGTCAACTTTTATTATCAACATTGAGAAACATGAAATTTCATACTATTGTAACGAAGAAACCACACCAAAATATTGCAGTAAAGCACACCTAACCATTGTGCCCATTGCACAATCAATTGAGAGAACAGAAGTGTCCAGTGTAGATGCTCCTTCCTTCGCTCCTCAGCCCAAACATCCTCTAGCGTACGTGGCTGTACTGATATGGAAAGATTAGTTTTTGAAGTTCAAATGACCCACATGCATAAGAAGAATATTATTTTCTATATCCCATATGACTGAGCTTGCGCATATGTGTATTAGAATTAGAACTTACCTCTGTATGCTTGTCATCTTGCTCATCACGCCCTAATAAAGGCTCATCCAAACCACCTAATTCCGATGTATCATAATGCTCATACTTTCTCCCATCAACATCCCCGTGATGGACCCTTCTCCTCAAAGCCCCAGACTTCATTAATTGACCTTTAGAGATATATAACAAGTTCTTTTTAAACTCAAAACAGTCCAAAGATATCCAAACTGTAACTGTATCAAACTCATATGCAACATAAACAGATAAAATAAAAAAATAAAAAATAAAAATAAAAATAAAAACCCATAAACTAAAATATAGAAAGCTTCCAGCTTGACAACTCAAAAAGGAAAAAAAAATAAACACTAATTTTTTTGGAACAGTGTGCCTCCAGCATTCAACAAGGCCGATCAATGTTACAGTAAAATCAGTTCTAAAATATCAAAATTCTACTACTTGATTCTCAATGATAGCAAACTACAACCACAATATGCACTAAAAAACCAAATCTTTTGAAATCATTGACCCCATCCTCTCCCCAAGCGAAATTCTAAAATCAAACAGAACCCAAATACAGCCCACATAAGAATACCAAATACAATGTTGAGACAAGCATAAAAACCTGCATGCGCAAAAGTCCTAGTTTGATATCTAGAAATCCCCCAATTCACATAACAATTACCCCAGAATGTAAGCCACCAACGAGTGACATGCACCCAGAATCCAGATATGAAAAATTCCCGATGGAATGAACAGAAGAGAGAAAGAGAACTGACCCAAAATAGTCGAGAAGTCCCTAGATCGAAACGGAAGAGCAATAATAAAGAGTAGAGGAGGAAACCCCCGTAGCTCGTACAACTGCCTGTGAATACGCGTATGGATCGAAGATGAGTTGAAATTATGGATGAGGAGAAGGTTGATGGGAATTGAATTGAATTGAAATTGATGGATTCGGATGAAGTCTCCGATGGATCTCCCTCCCTCCTCGATACGCCACCGCCACCTCTCCAAGTCCGAAGAGACACAAACTGAATGGAATTTAAGCAACACGCAATCCTTTTAACGGACAGAAGAAAAGCACTATTAAGTGGGCCCAACAGTTTAATTTCTTCCTTTTCCTTTAACATTTAAATTTCTTCGTTTCTAATTTTCATTTTTAGATTTTTCAAATGAGTAGGACGTTTGGAAATTTGGCTTGCATTTAATTATAAAATATAAAGGTTCTTAAATAAGGAAGAATCTTAATTAAGGATTTATTATTTATTTAAAGATTTATATTTTATAATTAAGTATAGTTTAAGTTGTAAAATAATTTTTTCTTTTCAAATCTATACTATATTAACTTTTTTTTTTTGTTAATTTATATGAAATATTGTTTTCAACACATGTAAACAATTTTAATTTTTCTATCCTCACATCCCACCCAAGACAACCTATGAAAGTTTAGACTCTATTTAATACAGTTTTAGTTTTAATTTTTTATTTTTATTTTCTATATATTTAGTAATTAATATTATATTTAAATTAAATTTAATAAATTTAAATATTTATAGTAAATTTTTATTTCTAAATATGGTAACAATTACTAAGAATATAAAAAATGAAAACTCAAAACTTAAAACCAAGACCATACTGAACAAATAAATTTAGACTTAAAACTCCTTATGGCCAAATAAGAGTTATCATAGGCTAAAAATTATTAGAGTTTTTCATTTGCAATATAAGTTATACCAAATTGTAAAAGAAAAACTTTTAGGTTAAAAACTAACCCTCAAAAAACTCATCTCCATCCCATTTAATAGTAAATATTATGCTACTTGATGCAATCCTTGCAACACTTTTTTGAAAACATTAACATACAGAAAATTAAGAGATATATTAGATTTCCGCAAAAAACCATAGCTGTTAGACAGTCACCATCTTATGCCGCCTACGACGCTAACCAACAAAGAAACGAGCCTTAACCATGTTTACATTTCCGGTGCAGCCATGCCATGGCAAAAGTACCTGAAGCCCACGTTTTGAGCATTTACCCTAACCCTAAAGGTAGATAGCTGCAAAGGTCAGATTTACCAGAGAAAATTCTCATGGCATGCAGCTTCTTGGGATGCCAAGAGAAGCCCCTTCACAAGCTGCAAATGTAGGCAAGCCTAATACCAGGTTTGCTTCAGCCCATTGCAGTTGCTTGCCGGTATAACGCAGCAACCAGCAGTGTTTGACATTTGTTACATCAAAATACAGGGTAAAATATGGAGCTATCATGTACTATTATAGTTACAGCAACATGGAGTGATGGGGTATTATGGGCGCATCAATGAAAGGATATCTGATGACCTGGAGATATGATGCCTACGAATTTCCTAATAATTTACATGATACATGGCCAGGAGAAAACTCTCCAGATTCATGATTTTACGGCACTACTACTCTACAATGTAGATGTATGGTGGTATTGGCCAATGGCTTTGCCCTAACATCCAATACCTCCTATGATCCTCTGGCACAGAGACCTTTCACTGGGAAGCTCATTGTCGAGGCACTGGTGGTGTTGCTGCTTGGTTTTGCCCATAAAACCCAATACCTGGTGGTCTGTAAAATCCTCCAGTGGCTGGTTGCTGCTGCTGAGACTGTGGCTGCTGCAAGGGTTGGGACTGAGGCTGCTGTAGAGGCTGAGAAGTAGGTCTAGCTAAATTCACTGCAATGTGTAGCGGCAGAGGAGGAGGAGGAGGTGGTAGACCATAAGGCATTACCCCTGCCATCAAACCAGTGGATTGGACATATTGACTTACTGGAGGATTTGCAGGAGAGAGAGGTGGTGGGGGGAGTGGTGGAGCAGGAGCAAATGGAGTTTGAATTTTGTTGCCTTGGGAAATTGGTTGCATACTTGAAGATGGTCCAAGTGGCATGTTGGTAATCAGTTGCTGAACTGGCGTAAAATAGACTGTATTGCCTGCATCTGAACTGCTGCCATCTGACACAGGCATTGGTTTCTCAAGTTTGGGACGTTTTTCTGGAGAGAAAATAGGTAATCCTCCTGTCAACCCACCAGATTTTAAACTACCATTAATGGAGGCAGCCTCTTCAGCAACAAGTGATGAAAGCACAGAGGTAAGCATCTGAGCAGAAGATGTAGAAGCAGCAAGCTTAGCTGCAACAGCAGCAGCTGCTGCTTTCTTGGTCTCCTCATCAGTTAACTTCGAAGGAGCAAAGGAAACCACAGGTAGAGGCAGAAATGGCTGCAGAGTGATTGGAGGGCCAGGAATAGGAGATGATGTTAGCCTCTTTCTTACATTGTTTACTTGTTCAACCTGACCACGAGCAACCTGCAAAGCCATCATAAATTCCACATCATACAAAGAAAATATTCAAAAGCAGGAATCATATTAAATTGCAAGGGATATGAACACACTTGCACAAGCAAACGGTACAAGTATTTCCACTCATCTAATGCAAATAAACTTTTACCACATTAAATTTCTGATCTCAAATATTTAGAATTTTAAAAATAACATAGTTTAACATGGTAAATTCTTGAAACAAAAAGTGGCTCAGAATTCACATGCATTGGTATCCCCAAAAGAAATGCATGAAACTGAATGCATAAACATCTAAAAGTATACATCTTGGGTGAGAAAAAGTTGTTGTTATGAGCATGCATCCATGTTTCTGTTACACCGACCTCATTAGGTGTTGAGCTCCTTGACTGGGTTATAAGTAGTTTTATTCAGCTTTTATTTCCAAAAAAAACTATTAAACATACTAAAAAGTTAATGGAACCTACTAAATTGGAGCTTTCTTTGTAAAGATGTATGGTACAGAAGGAAGAACAGCAACAAGAAATAAGATAACAGACCACATTGCATTTAATCATTCACATAAACATCAGACTAGAAGGCCAACTTATGTATTGTGACCAAAAAAAAAAATCAAGTCGACATAACAAGCACAAATTACCAAGAAAAAAACCAATACAAATTGTGAAAATTCAGAACTCCAAACTAGATTATAATGGTCAAATTAGTATTAAGCACCATTTATCAAAAGTAAAATATAGAAATTTTCATATTCTTCAAATTCCACCAATAAATACCATCTTTAGCACTCCACATGATTAGGAAAGGAATGAACAAAAAGATAAATGTCTTAAGACTTAGACCCAAGGCAAGTTATGTAAAGAGAGAAGTGTTCCATAGGTCGTCCTCTCAAATTTTTTTTGAAGGACCTCTCTAAAAATCCATTTTCTAATTAATATTTCTAAAAACCAATTGTTGGATTGGAAGTTCTATTCATATAGATCATTTGTGTCAATTTTTAGATTGTTCTAGTAGGTCCGTCTAACCACTTTGTTGATTACACAAAATTTAACACCATTAAATATATGTCAGTAAATAGAGTTTATTTAACAGAGTGTTATAAGTGTTAGATCAATATCAAAATTGACAACCATGATCTACATAAATAGGACTTTCAATCCAATGGTTGGTTTTTGTAAAATATTAATTAGAATGTGAGTTTTTTGACAAGTCCTCCAAAAAAAATTTTGGGGGGACAACTTGCTCTACACTAACCCCATTTATATTGAAGTCTTCTTTTGAAAATATTGAAATTCATATTGAAGTCTCCAAAAGAAAATGGTTGGCATCCACTTTTCCAGGTCCAAGTCTACAGTCAAATTATAAATATTATTTATTTGCACACCTATATAAAAAGTTCCAAAAAAATGCTACTTCGAATAGAATATAACTGAACTCCAGTAGGTCATATGCTATCATTCCTGTAAAACATAGTGAACCATAATTTCAATGTCATAACCATTGAAAGAGACCAGCAGCTAATCATATCACAAAAAAATTTTCAAATATGGAAGGAGAAGATTTAAACAGAGACATTCACCATATCTATGGACACTACATGCACAAAATATCAACAAAAAATTCATAATTTTCTATTAATGTATATATGTCTGTTCACAGATATTAAAATGTTAGTACGTATGTAAATCAGAAAGGAGAAAACTACAAGATGCAAATTAGAAAAGAGAAAACTAACATGATGGTTACAAAACTTAAAAAGAATTATTGATTAAGAAAAAAAATGAAACATATTGCAATTTTATATAATCTCGCCTTTTATATATTTCGATTAGATTAATGCTTCTGTTTGGGACTGTTGTGGCTAGTATCCAAACAGAGACATTCACCATACAGACCACCAGCACAAAATATCCACAATATTCATAATTTTCTATTCATGTATGTATGTATGTTCATAGATGTAAAAATGTGTCTATAGATTAGAGATGTAAATTAGAGGGGAGAAAGAGAAAAGGGAAAACTGAAAACTAACATGCAGGTCATGAAACTTTCATAAGAAATATTGAATAAGAAGAAAAACGTTACAACTTTATAAAATATTCTTGCCTTTTGTACACTTTTATTAGACTAATGCCTCCACTAGGGATTCATGGCTAGTATCCAAAGCTTGCATGGTATTTGGTAAACAAACATCTAAAATGCGCTGAACTGCTATGATAAATTTTGGAGTTTGGCAATGATAACTTGGACAACTCTTGTAAAGCTAATATAATACGAACATAAGACATAAACACATGGCTTGATATTACTCAGCTACTAATACCAAAAACAGGACCATTATTAAAAGATACTTTATTCTTATTAAAATTAATCATAGTTATCAAATTATTTTTATATGTTTATGAATATAATTATTTTGTTTTAAATATAATTATAAAATTGAGAAATTTATATTCCTCCATGTACATGATTTCTAATTAATTAAAAATTACTAATAAAGAAAAAAATATGATTGCTTAATTTATTAAACTCTATAAAACAAAAATATAAAGAAACGAATAGAACAAAGGGGGAGGGGCCAATGGAATGTCTCTTTGGTGCTCCAAATCATAGCACCAAACAGTGCCACAGCACAGGAGCACATTGGGCTCCTTCACAAGAGCACATTGGGCTCCTTCACAAGAGCACAACCTGGCACTCCAACAGCAATTCAGCTGCTGAACTAACAAAGGAGAAACTCCTTCACTGTTGAGTTTAGTTAAATAAATTAATTTGAATATGAAAGAATTAGATTTAACAATAATTAAGAGGGTGCTTTTGAGTTTACAAATATTTTATTAAACAATTAAGGTTCTTTCCTTAAAAGCTACAGCCAAAAGTCATCATAGCAGCTTCCTATTTTTTTACCAAAAGCTGTTGCCCTTATCTACAACTTTCTGTGAAAGCAACCACCCAAAAAATGTTTACCAAACGGCTTAATATCCAAGGACTGTTGCAAGGAAAGCACCTAAAAAGCAATCCCAATTAAACCATACATAACATGAATACATGATAATTAGATTTAGCATTTGCTTTTAATTTCAGCTTTAATATTAAATTTGTATGATGTTAATGTCTGGGACATATCTCTGAGATTCAAGTTTTGATATATAATAAACTATATGACAATTAAATGGAAAAAGAGAAATTAACAGAAATATTATTAGCATCAAAAACACCTTGCAATCATAGCATTGAATAAGCTGTAAAACTTGACATGTATGAGTTGTTACAGAAGATAGTGACTCTTACTTGCAACTGGGTACGGATCAGCACCAGCTTTGATTCCTGAAAAAAATTATATCAGTGAGTGGTCAACACAAAAATTTTAAGACAAAAAACGCATTCTGGGATGATAGACTGTACTTGTTCCTCAAGTGCTTCCTTAAGCTGAACAATCAAGGAAGCTCTATTTGTTTCAGCACTTTCAAGTTGTCCAATACACTGCTGAAGGGTATTTTCCTGCTGTTGAAGCTCATCCAGCAATGCAGATCCATTCTTACTTCCTGAAAAAATACCTGAAAAGATGACAATGTTTTAGTTAAAGTCAGCAGACAATGATTGTAAGAAAGAGAAAGCCCTCAACACCCCCACAACCCCCAAAATAAATCTTCTAAAATGAAAAGGAAGAAACAAACTAAAATTTTCAATAACCTAAATTTTAAAGATAGGCCTTAAAATGTTGAGATAAAATTTAGCACAGATCCTCTTAAGAAAGACAATACATCAAATATATCTTGCCCTTTAAAATTTTTTTAAAAAAAATGAAGAGACCATTTATCATCAATAGAAATACTTTAATTAGTTGAAATGTTTAATATTGAATTATTATTATTATTATTATTAGAATAAAGTATAAACAGGTTGATAAATGTGCCAATCCAATTAGCCCATCTAAAAAATGGGTTAAATTTTTAATATTTGTCATATTCATCTAAAAAAGATTCATTTGCTAAAGGGTTACATAGCCAGTGTGATGTCAATCCATGCTATAAACAGGTCATGTTCAAGTTGATTGATTGACCACTCACATTCAGATTGACCCACTTAACCACATAACCAAGCATATATTCGAATCACTACTCAAAAAAATATTCTTTTATATTTCTATCAATCTGAAGGAAATTTTAACAATCATTCTAGTTCCATTTGGCTGCTCATTCTTACATGCTAATTGCTAAATGGCATTTTGTGCCTTTTAGCAAAAATAGCTAAATGGCACTCTGCAGTTATCAGTTTGGATAAAAAGAGCTGATTAGCTGTCAAAATGAAAGGTAAAAGGACACTACATGGCTAATATAAATTATAATTATATTTAGAAAAAAGCGTTTGTCAATTGGACCTCTAAAAAATTAGAACAACCACCCCAAAACTACATCATTTCAATAAACTCTCATTGAAAAAGACTAAAATAACCTAATTTTTAAAGCATAGATGGGATTGTTTTGGTCTTTTCCCATGCTGCTTTAATGAAATGACGCAATTTTGTGGTCTTTCTCCTACTAATTTTTTAGAGGTCCAGCTAATAAACAGTAATCTCTTAATATTTAATAATATTTTAGGTTTAGAGTTCCAAATTCTATTAAAATTGTAAGGTGTATGGGTCATTAGCTAGGTCAAACTTGCCATTAAACTATGGATTGTAGCCTTCCCTTTTCTATTTATTACACTTTTGGCAATTAAGCATTTGCATTTAAGCACTTTTCTCGACTCCAAACAGGTAAAAAAGCTAGTTTTAGCTTTATTAGAAAGTCTGACCAGGTTTTAAGCTTTGCCAAACACCTTATTAGTTAGGTTTAAAATGTTTAAAATTGAATTATCATTACAAGAAAGATATAGACAGGTTGATAAATGTGCCAATCAAACTAACTCATCTAAAATATGGGTTAAAATTTTATCTTGCCATATTCATCGAAAAGATAGATTTATTAAAATGGTTACATCATATGGAATAGCAGAAAATCAGGACATCTTAGCAATTAAAATTCCTGGAATGATAATAAAAAGACTTAAATACCCTTAATGATTAACATGCAAGAAAGATCCATTAAGGATATTTGAACATTTTAAATACCAGGACATACCGATCTTCACCTTTCTCATATTATATAATGTCTATCCCTGCTATAACGAGGTCATGTTCAAGTTGATTCATATAAATTCTAACCATATTTGTATCTACATATAAGAAATTTTAACAGAAGAAATAACCAACCTCACAGCAGGACCCATACCTTGATTTAAACTATTTTCTACATCTTCCATAATCTTACTCAATTGATGTAGAGCATCACCATACTTGCTATAAGCCATCTCCTCATTAGGATGATCCTCAAATACTGATTGGAATGCAGTTAATATCCTTTCTGGTAATCCTCCAGCAACCAATTTCTGAAGTTTAGAAACCAAACCAAAGTGATGTCACAGACCAGAAAAAGAAAACATTTCCAATTAAAATGAAATCAGTGATATTGAAAGCACGAACAAAAAGGATCCATAACAAAAATGGCTAAATGCCTACAAATCTAACTGCAAGAGCATCCCTCTTCAGTATCTTGATAGGATTTGAGGACCTTCCATTGTTCACCGCTGGAGGAGAAGGATTTTTACTAAGCATTTCATCTTTAAGATTCTGTCCCCTAGAACCAAAAACTTTTCTTTCTTCCCATATGTCAACCTGAGAATATATAACCATATAAATCAGCATAACCACCATACCCCAAAACAAAACAAGCCCACCTAAGGAGAACAAAATATGCTTCTTCTTTTTCTTGCTAGAGAGAGAAGATGGTTGTTATTGAAATAACAGATGTGCATATTAATAAAATTGATATATAAAACCTTATGTTCAAGATACATGAAAACAATATTCTACAGCTGGCTAGCAGCATTGGATTTTGTAAATATAAAACTAAAACCAATTGGCTATGTTGGTATAGGCCACATTGTATTTAAGTCCACAGGTTTCCCTCAACAATGCCCCACTTAATAGTTTCTAAAAACAAATAAATAGATAAAAGTAATATAACACTAAACAAAAAGTCCAAGTACTCTATGTTCAAATTTTCTTAGTATGGCCAAATCCTTGGGGTTAAGCAATACTATGATGCAAGTTAAAGATATGGAGAAAAAGACAATAGATTTACCAAGCACAAGCAAATTATGCTTGTTGTTGTAGTTCAAAGAAAACCCACTAATCAACATTTATCCTAAAAAAAAATGTTCAAGCCTTCATGACAACTAGTTCAGGTTAGCCAAATACTAAGAAGTGATATAAAACATGCTGGAAATGCAGGTTCAAATCCCTCCATTTTGATTTTGACAAAAAAAGTCAATTTCTATGGATGGGGCAGCTTGCAAGTGCCCACAGGACTAATCATGCAATACCAATGTTATCCAAAAAAAGAAAATGCTACAACACATTGCTCCAGCAAAAAATATCACATGCACTACACACACAAATTGTCAAATAAAATCCATATGTCCCATCATCTGACCAAAGACATTTTTTATTTTTCTCACATTATTGCCCAAGAAATTATTGAACTGAAGTACCAAACAAATCTGTAAAAAGCAGAAGAAAACATGCAAGAACCTGATGATATACAAATAATAATAATAATAATAATATAGAAAAAAAAAATGCCAAAACTTATTACTTTATTAAACAGAAGCAAACATCTATTGACTATACATATCCATGCATGCTTTAATTATCATTTAACACCTTCACAAACAGTGAAAGAATGAACCAATAGGAAGTCTTTACATACAAGAACTGAATGATTATGCTCTTGGGGAGAATGATAGAAGCAACTGTTAGAAACTATATTATTGAAGCAGACACTTGAAAAATTATCTATATCAAGTAACTAACCCATTTCCATGTCCATCACCAATTTCATAGACACAAGTAACCAACACTTGAACCAAAAAAAAAAAAATAAAGACTTCTTATAATTGACAAAAGAACTTACTAGTCTGGTTACAGCTTTCTTTCCATATTCATCACCACTTTCATACACATGATTCAGAGCTGCAGGGAGAACCTTCCAGAATTCATTAACAAACTCACTGCCCTTCCTCCTACTATTCTGCAAAATGTCATTAGCCAAATATAAAAAAGAGACACGCTGCTCTTTCTGGAAAGAATTGAATAATTTGTTCCATGTTTCAACAATCTGTTTAGCCTTCTTCCGGTGGGTAATACACCATCGAGACAATGCTGAATCAACGTAAAGGAAACACATTCCATGGCAAAACATTTAAAAGTATAAAATGAAAACTAAAATATCCCAGACCAGGAAAAGAAATAGGGTGCAACATCATCTCAAAGAATGAAGCCTATAATTACATTTATATAGAATTCAACATTTAGATAATTAAAGACAATTGCATGACCCTAATAGAATTAAGAAAAAAAACATTGCTGTTTTATCAGAAAACAACTCAAACATAAAGGTTTCAGACTGTAGGATACATTCAATGCTTTGTTGTGAATTGTTGAGCTTTGACAACTTCTCAGATAGTATCAGCCCGTCAAATGTGTCGTTGCTCATGCTGCTGTTTAACAAGTTTGTACATAGCCTGCAGCAATTGTTACAAGTGATGGGAAGTTTCTATTTAAAAAAAAGACTTATTTAAATTTATACAAGCAACATTCAAACTCAAGAATGAGAGAAGGCAGAAACAAAAACAAAAAAAAAGTATCATGAATAAATTACTCATGAAATTCTTCTGCAGTAGCTTGGATGTGCAAGTACACAACTTAACTAGTCCTTAAACCCAACTAGTTGGCATTGGCTACACAAATCCATTTTTTCATTTTATCCTATCCAAGATCATACACTATTGAAGGTCTTAAGGACACGTCCTCTCCACTACTTCAACCATATAGCATTGAACCTACATATATGCTCTACCTTAATACAACCATACTTAGGAAGAGTCCTAGACCTATGTTGACAAAAGTGGACCTATGTTGGAAACAAATGTAGCACACATAATTCTCAATATCAAATAATTCCATAAAATTATGGGAAAGCCTGTAAAATTTGTTCTATATTATAAGCTAAAATCAAGTTAGATTACTCACCAACAACTATATTTAAGGGAAAAAGTAGAAAATTATATTCAATTTTGGAAAATTCCAAAAGAGTACCGTTGGGTCTGATTACATGCAAACGTTGGCAAAATCAAACCAAAAAAATGATTTATGACCAGCTTCTCCAATCAAACTAGAGACAAGAGAAATCTAAGTTGTCATATTTTCATCTGAATTGCTTTGCATCTGCCTTCTACATAAGTTAATTTCTAATCTTATCTTTTCTCTATGGAGTCACATCCATGAGCCATCTTAACGACCTCAGTTTAGCTTAGCTACATTCATCCTACAAAATGTTGCCTTCATATCTAAATTGAAAAGCTTTCCAAGTATCACTTGGGGTTTCAACTCATTCCTCTAATGCTAATAAACATTTCACTGGAACAATCCATTAAACTCAATCAAAGGCCATAACTAAGCAGTCAAATGCATAAGCATGGTACCTTGATCATTTTTAGCAACGTCAAAAGACATAGAAAATGAAAAGTCAAACTTTCTTTCCTAATCTTCATCAATCGCAATATCTTTTTTTTTTTTTTTTGGTGGCCACATAAACACAATTCAACATTTAGCAACTCATGAATTTATACTACTTTTATTTTACAGTTTCCTGCCACCTCAGTCCTCACTTGGGTATCCTTCATATGAACAGTCTCATCACATTTCAAATGTACTAATTCTTTTCAGTTGCATTTCTAAACTCTTCAAGACCATTGGCATAGGACGTGACTTTCATAGTCAAACAATGCAAAAGAATACTGTTCTCTTCATCAATTTAGTAAAACACTAACCTATTCAATCTCCATTTTTCTGAAACATACTTCCCGAGAATCCCAAACAAATAAAAAAATGTAGGGTTTATGTATCTCAAGTAATTGGTTTCACAAAACTAGTACCACAAGAAGTTTCCATGAAGAGCAACAACTCAAAACAACTCAATAATATAGTTCCTAGATTCATTGTAAATATAAAAAATTAAAAAATTTTCTTCTCCACGTCAAGTATTCAAGAGCCCATTTAACTGTTACCTTATTCTCTCATGTACTTATGAAACTAAAGACATGTCCAAAAATGCAAAGATTTTCTCAAACATCCCCAAGATTAGATCATTTCCTTAAATCCCATAGAGACAGGGACATCAATCAAATCAATTAGTTCCTTGCAAAGTGAAATCAAACAAGTGAACAACAATTAAAATTTCAAATCAATTTTAAAGCTGTCATCTCCTTTATCAAACCATAAGCTAAGGCCCCCATAATCACAAATCAGGACCCCTTAAGGGAACAATAACTGCCCTAATGCAGTTTCTTCTTAAATCCAACAGTTCCTAAAACTAAAAGTTTCCTCACAAGAAAAATTTTAAGTCACACTATAATTACCTTTTAAGACGACACATCTCGATATCTACTTTTTGCTACCAAAATAACAAAAAGCTAAGCCCTATTAAGTACAATTAACCCAATTTTTAGAAACTAAAGCAGAATTTAATCACAAACCCACCACATAAATTGAATTAAAATTGAATAAATTACATTTAATCATGCATTTCAGTACTTCAACTTAAGGCAAACAATAATTTAGAAAAAGCACCTAACACAAATAATTAGAGAAACGTAAGCGCCTACTGATTCAAATTGTCGACACTATCGTCTTTTCCCACTCGAGTTTCTCAGCTACCCAACGTAAGCTTAGGGTTTTGCAAAGCTTTGATTAAGAAACTAGCATAAACAAACAAAGTAAAAGCAAATTAAGAGAAAGCAATAGACGGAACCCATTCACAAACCTTCCTGAGATTACTCGGACCAATACGAAGCAAGAGTCTTAAAATAGAGGAACTGCAGAGGATAAACCCTAAAACATTGCAGACTACGTAGCGAAGGAGAGGGATGTGGAGACCTGTA